GCGGGGAGGGTTAGGGGAAGGGAGGGGGTGGCGACGCGCGGCGGCCGAGATCGCCGCGTCGTTAAGTGTCCGCGCCGAGAGCGCTTCTCGTAAATCTCGGGGCGCGGGCAGCAACGCTTCCGCTGGCCGCGGCGGCCCCGCCTCACCGACCGCCTCGCCGTCCGCGCCCGCGCCCGCACACGGCCCCGCCGCCCCACAGCCACGCGGCACCGCAAGGAAGAACTCCGCGTGCCTCTTAGATAACGCAATCGTCACAGACAAAACAAAACATTGAAGTATGTATGATTACGAATGTATGATTCAGTTTCTATATGCACGACATTGCAATCAAAACATGTTTTAAATTCATGTGGCGCCTAATTAAAGTAGTTAAAGCACCCTTCACATTTAACCAAATCGAATTTTAACAGAGAATTATTTATATTTTTGAGTTTTGTTAGTTATTAAAATATTAGAGCTACTTTTTGTGATGAGTGGTTTTGGGTTCTATGCAACATAAAATATGTACGATATATCACGACTTTCGTAATGCATTTACAAAGACTTTGCGAGAACTCGAACTGAATATTAAAATAAACATTTATAAGAACCATTTAAATTGTAATGTATAAGAGATACGATTTAAATAGAAATATATTTTAAATTTGTCTAAATTCAAATTATCTACATTGCTACTGTAACAACACATTCCATTCAACCTACATACACCATTTATTTCCACAATACTTTTTCACCTTTCGTAATACAAAATATTAAATAATATTATTATTATTACTATTAATATTATTATTTATATTTATCACCATACTTTGGAATTCAATAGTGCATTGCGGTATTCAACATGAGCGTGCTAAACGCAACGGACGAATTGATCGAATCTACGTCGCAGAAAATTAGAAAAAGCTAAAATATTTACCTTGTCTCATCAGGGAAATCTTTACCAGGAGTCCGCGCCGCGCAAAACGTGTAGGTAATGTTTTTCAAATGGTGACGTCAAACTCGCTACAAAAACATGGCTGCCCGCGACGCCGTTTTCGCCGTCTTTATGGATCTGGAAGCGGCGCCGCGCCCTCCGCGCCTGCGCACAGCCGCGATGCGCGCGCAGCCATGGCGGCGGCGCACGGCGCCGTGGAGGGGGCCGGGATGGCCCTCCCCAGGCGGGAGGGCTCGCATCCGAAAGCCAGAAAATATTGACCTGCCGAGTGGGCGCGCAGGCCGACAGGTCGGCGACGGGGCGTCGATTGGCACGCGGATCGGATTTTTTTTTTTTTTTTTATGAATTAGTTGCTCTTGTTTTTCGCTTGTCGGTACTTAATGGCATCGCTCTCTTTTTTGTATTTCTGTTTCTTAGAAAGATTTGTTTCTCCGTCATCGAGAGTTGATAGGACTTGGTTCGAAGTGCAAGGGTTAATTGGAATGGACCTTTTATCCTCCCTGTCAACCAACTTCACTCGTTTGGTGGTGGGGATCCATAAGTGAGTTGGCCCTTCCTTGAACTCGGCTCTAAAAGAGGATACAGTCACGTGAGGAGGCGTAATACATTTCGCCTCACGTATTTCGAATTAACCATCAGCATCTCCAACCCATTCCTTCCTCCCCGAGCTTTCTTCCGCTCCACAGCATGCAAATAACCTCTCCAACAAAACAAATATTAATTAAAAGAGATACGCATCTCTCGTCGAAGAAACTCGTTCGGTCTAAGTTTGTCCTTTGTGTACCTTCTTAACGCTCCGGCACCGCCGCCGCCGAAACTTCGGCGCTAAGTTAGGCCACGTCCTCGCTTGCAAATGATCGCCGAACTTCTTCCGAGAATGGAGTCCGTGCCGAGTACGACTTGCAATGCAATCACGCTTTAGAGGCCGTCGCGGCGCGGCGCGGAGCGGAGCTGCGCTGAGCTGCGCTGAGCGGAGCTGTCTGCCGCCGCCGCCGCCGCAGTGCGCGACGACCGCGCCCCGCCATGTCACCCGCGCCGCGCCGCGTCGCCCGGGGCGCCGCTGCTTCCTCCGCCCGCTGTCTCTGGCTAATTGTCGCGGGCTTATCTCGGAGCTCCAGCGGAGTGCTTCGTCGCCGGCGCCGTAGTTTTATGTTAAACAAACACAGCCCGGCGTAATCCCTTGTTAATAAGGCCCGTGTTAGCTTACGACGCTTGCGGCGTTTGGGGGAAGCTAAAAAATTAACGCCAACAGTCCCCAACAGTTTTTTACCCGTCTAAGTAATCTCGTTTTACTATTGTGTGTCCGCAAGTTATACGGGCAACGTTGCACTTATCTCGGGCCAACTTTAAGTAATGAGTCCTGGCTTCCTACACGCATATACTGTGCCTCCCGGGGTTGAAATTCCCACCTGTATCTTGGGTGTTTGGAAATTAAGTTTATCGTCATGGTGTACCTGCAGATTAATACTGAATTTTATCCGTTAGAAGATTTCCGTTTTTGATAAACGTGCCGCATTCATATAAACTTTAAATGTAATCTTCTATTAAAGTTATGAAACTCACGGCAGTGTTTAGACATATTTTATAAAACTTTACGTCCGTGGAAACATTTTATTGCTTGTAACTCCTTTGAAGAATTGCCCTCTCTTGACTACTCTTTACAGCGCCGTGTGCCCAATGCATATATTTCAGGAATTCGTTACTTTTGAGTTGTGTGGAGTTGTACTAAAGGAAACAAATAATTAACGTCTACGACGTCTGTGTGCAAAATGAAACAAGTCCGAACACTTATCGAAACGACCTCAGGAAGGAGAGAGAGGGGTGTTGTTGCGGCCTCACCGCGTCGCGCGTCGGGCAAGCCGACGGTAGCGACAAAGACCGGAAGAAATACGAGTCAATATGTTTCATTGCTCTGAAAACGACGCGCCGAGGGCGCGAATTTGATTTTTACGAGGCGCGTATGGCGATAACGGGCACGGCCTGCGCGATTGCCGCCGCCGCCGCCGCCGCCTCCACCAGTTAGAATTGATGGCGGGCAATTAAAGCGGCAATCCAGGGGCCGTGAACGAAGCGAGCTGTTGGGCGCACCGCCTCCCCCGGCGCCGTCGCTGCCGCCTCCTCCGCCTCTATTGTTGTGCTTCTTTCAGCCACGCCTCGTCATGCGGTGGTGTCCAACTTCAGTCAATTGCTCCGTAAGCTCCTCGCGAAGCGTCTGTTTCTGGCATTAAATGATTTTTTTATACCTCGGTCGTAGTCGTTTCGATGGTTTTGTTGTGACGGAAGTACTATTCTTCATTCTCAAGTTCATTAGGCCATATTTTCAGCAAAAAGTAAAAAATAATGTATCACAAAATAAAAAGCATATTTATCACTTCCGATTGAATTATCTGCAGTGTAGCCTATTAATTTTCCTACTCTTACTAAAATGTTCACTCAATTTAAAATATTCTAATCACTAACATTTAAAAAAAAATAATAATTATAAAATAAAAATTCTGATATTAAAGATAGTTTTGTTAATTCATTTATTTACAATTTTTATAAGTTCCAAATTTAAAAGTGAAATAATTATCTCGTAGCTTTGCGATTCGCTCGGCGATTCAGTTCGGTAATCATTTTCTTCGAAAATAATTAACTTTCACAGTGTTTACGTGTGATTATATTTGAAAAACAAGCTTTACCTTCTATTTTCTTAAGCTACCATTAAGTTCATTCGACTTAAGTTAACCATATAATAAAGTTTTGTCTGCATTGAAAAATTGAATGACAATACTTTTATTATTATTATTATTATTATTATTATTATTAATTTTATTATTATTATTAATCATAGCAATCCAAGACTTTTCACTATTAATTGATAAAATTTTAGCCAAAATTAATTTTGTACTCAGCATTCTAAAGAGAGAGTACATTTTCCGACATTCTATGATTCCACCCCTTGAATAAATTTTCTTCTCATTCCATTTTATTTCACTTAAGAACTTTTATAGCTGAAAGAACGGCGACGTACTTCGCACCTTTCTCGTAGAGTTTTGTTTTGTTCCTTTTGTTGACTACAGTAGACGCTGTTATCCCATTGAACTGTCAAGACGTGGTTTTTATATATCCTCTCTTCTTAGTATTCCTATATTCCTCGAGTCGTTCATCACTGACTTTTTGTTTATATTTTCTGTCAAATGAAATATTGCGTGGAACAGAAAACTGATTTCCTTGTCATCCTCCTAGCAGTGCTAGGAGCTGTATAGGAGGAAAAAAATTGCTGCAATTATTTTCGGTTTTGAGATAAATATTTCTATATTTGAATACAATATTTCTATATTTGTATACAATATTTCAATATTTCTTTACAATATTTCAACTAAGCAAGACTGTATTATTTTATTTTTTGTTTTATCATAAACGTACATCCATTTTTGTAACCAACCTTCGCTAAGTGTATACTACACGATTCTTTCTTTTGTCTAGGATTCGAAGTTTATTGAGGGAGAAATGCAGTGAAGCTGTATGGTAAGTACCTAGTTCAGTTTTCTAATTTTAATGCAAATAATCTTTAAAATTATATTGGGATTTAAAAATACTTTTCATAAATTGTTTTAATACTTTTTAACGCATACAATGCGTAGTAGTGAATAGTAATCGTGATTGTAATATATCGTGAAATTTCAAATAACTATATATTTTTAATAAATTTGTGGCAGAAATAATAAATATTCCAAAGTAGTTTCAAACTGCAACTTTTCTATCTATTTCTCTACAACTTTCTATTATATAATCTTTTTATAACTTTATAATAAATATTTAGTTCTTTTTTTATATTTTAGTGTATTATTATAATACAAAGTAATGAATTTAATGACTTCCACAACTGTTGTAGAATTTTGTTTCATTTAATTTTGATTGTGGGTCTTTTGATGAAACTGCACACCTAATGCAATAACATTCACTTTTCACATAAATTACCACACAGAATGTGATTTTTGTTTTTGTATATTTAATGTAGGAAAATGTTATTTATTAGCAATAGTAAACTCAAAACTGCAGAGTAAGATTTTTAACTTGATTGGTTATTGCTTTTGATTTTATACCTTAATAATTGCGTTTGATTATCTTAACATGTCCGCCGAAAAATGTGTTGCCATAGTTTGTATGTAGTAATAGCAAAAGTATTTGAAAAAAACAAATAAAACGATAGTTATTACTGGAAATATAAAATATGAGGGCCCGAAAAGAAATTATAACCGCAGTGAGAAACAAAATGGGGGATCGTTTTGGGCACTCCTGATAATTGTAACGATTAGTCTTGGAGCTTTGAGCCCTTCCCGCCGCCGCCACTTGCTCCCCTGCCACTTCGCAGTTGCTCCAGACGTCGCCTACACCCCCCCCCCGCGGCGCCATGCCATTGTGCTCATTAGGGCAACGAGGTGCCCGACCGGCTGCGGCCCCAACGAGCGCGCCTCGCGCCTATTAAAAATAGTCGGACCCTCGTTAAAGCGAAGCACGCGTTGCATGGTGCGAAGCGCCTGCTCCGTGCCCGATCCACGGATCGTAAACACACTCAACGCTGTACCGACGAAAGTATTTTCTGATAATAACACTGCTTTGGGAGAAATGAAATGAGAGATTATTTTTCACTGAATGTCACAATTGCAAGATTATTAGTTTTTTTGTCGGTTATTGCTTCTTACTCGTAGCAAATATAAAAAAGGTCTCATACAATACTGTATTAAGCCAAAAATGTATAAAAAGGTACAAGAAACAGACGAGTGGCTTGTTTGTGCACCTACATCTTTTGGAATGACAGTTATAATGAAACAATGTCACCTTCACGCGATAAAGCTGATAAATAACATATTAATTCGAAATGTTCCATTTTTTTGTTTGTATAATTTCAATCAATGAAAGTGTTGGGTTAACATAAGCCAAAATGAAAATAAATATACATATATGATTTCAAAGATGGCGTTCTTTCCGTCGGTACACAAGAAAACGAACACAATCAAAAATAGTAATTTGTTTGTTAAAGTGAAGACATGTGTTTATAAAGGGGTATCTTTTTACTTATAAAAAGTCACGTAGATAACATAACAGTAGATTTATAAAGCTGAACACTGCTTTTTACTGCGAAACAAACGACTTCGCTGGCGATAAATTCACACTTAAGCAAAATAACAGTTTTTTACATGCATTACTTTTCTTCTTCTCAGACAAAAAATGCTTCTATAAGCAAGAGAAATGAGAGAAAATAATTTAATAATTAGATAATAAAAATGTAAGTGCCAAAGATTTTTTTAGTTACACTACAGAAAGGAAAGACGACGACACGTCGTCTGGTTATAGGTTGAGCCCGACCGTGAGTTCGCGGCTGCTTCGTATTTCCCTCCACCCGGACGATTCTGCCGTCGTTGCCACCCTCGTCATTTACGACGACTTGCCGCACGTTTTAATTAGCGCTGCTCAATTTTCTGGAATGGCGAGGCACAGCCTGCGCATACTCCGCTGGAGCGAGCGGGCGCTGTGCGTGGGGCCCGGCTCGTTACAACAGCGCCCTCCACTGCAACGAACATCAGCATACGGCCGGTTATTTTCTTTTGATCTTTTCGTCACGTAACAATTAGAACTTATGTAATAATGTCCGTCTCACATCATTTAGATGATGTGACTAATGTAGTTTACGATTCAGAAATTTCCATTCTGTACAGCTCCCTAATTATGTAAGAACTATTTTTTTCTGAGTAATGGTGAATTTTTCGTTTGATAACTTTCAGAAGACTCTACAAAAATACAATTAAGAAACGCATGCCATAAGAAAAAATAAATGCATTTGACTCATAAATGTAGAACATACTCAAGAATCACACATTGCATTACAACTGATTCGAAAAACTTACGTAAGGTATGGCTGAAGACTAACATCATCCACCGCCTTCCTTTGTGCTTGAAGGTCTTGGTGCCAGTCGTCACGACGTGAAGGTTAGAGGTCACCGTTCGTTTCAGAAGATCATAAGGAAATTCACAGACGCCATTATTTATCTTCAGTAAACAATTCCCTTTATCTCAAACTCTCACAAACACCATGATTTCCCTGTTTGTATTATTTATCCCGACAGTTACCTTCCGGCTAAGGTGGCTCAGGACAACACCTGATATCACTACGATGTCGCTTACCGGGAGGCCATAGAGTTCGAGTGCCGACGGTGGCAGAATTTTCGACGGGTAACTAGATCAAATTCTGTTGGGGTGGTGCATGGTGGTGGGAGATACCTGGTTGTGGTAAATACTCACCAGCCGAGGTGAGTCGCCACCGGATCTCGTCTGCCAGAGGGGGAGGATCACTGCCACATCCGATAAAAATTTAGTACACTACACATACGAGACTAGTGACCTTAGAAATGTGCGCGCCGAAAATGACTAATCAATCAAATCAAAAGAAATTCTTCATGATAATTTCATTACACACATATCACAATACGAGAGGCTGGAGAAATAATTTGTATTAGTCGTTATCTCTTGTTCCAAATTAGTATTATGGTTCTTCTTTGTAAATATACTGTATGCACTTTAGCACAACAGCTCTTTACGAACTGAGGTCTACCATCCGCGTCCTGGCCTTGAAGCTAAGGGGTACGTGTGGTTAGCAAATAGCCATCCCTACACCGATCACTGGTCTTCTCAACCTGAGAAGTGAGCTTTCTCATCGTCACACAGAAACAGATACTGGGACATTGCAAGAAACGTACATGATTCTTCTTAGTAATATTTAGAAGAAAAAATTGTCATTAGATGCCAAGATTTTATCAAAATGAAATTCCAGTGTGGATCTGAAAGACATTTTTATCTTTCCCATCATATTAACGTCTTAACTAAGTTCTGTCAATCTTAAATCCACCGAGACAAATTACATGAATGTGATGTGTGACATTTCTTGGTCAAATATAACATAATCTTGCTTTAATATTTCTAATATATAATTAGATATGATTGATAAATATACTGTGTCCGTGATTACGTATGTTCAACAAAATTTCAAATAATATATTTCTTCACTTCAGCTCAAAGTGTTTTGTATTAATTAACGTGCAGTTCTTGTCTTTTCGTAAAATAGTATATTCTTACTATGATATGTTAAAATATTTATAGCATTTGATACCTCCATTACATCGATAATCGCAATTATTTATTGCATCAATCCAAGTGAATTACATTCACACAAATGGAAAAACATTGACAGTATTAACGTGACGACACTCTACGAATTAATAAATCTAAAAGTCCGAAAATGGAACTAATATCTCATATATATTTCCTTTCTTAATTAATTGATTATTGAAAAATAAATATTCTACTAATTTATAAAGCTTAACATTACAAAATAATTAAATTTCAACTACCTTTTTAGTGTTTAATAAAAAAATTAGCATTTTTTACCGCTCTGTGCATGTTAGTAGTTTCTGAATTCATTTGTACAAGGCTGTAATCTACTAGATGAAGTAAGCTTTTAAACATCTTAGGCACGAATGTACGAACTAGCTCTTCATATCTCTCCTTGGAACTCCGCTGTCCCCCCACACAAAAGGTTCCCCTCCGCTCCACTCAAAGTAACTCAATGGTTAGTCGTGGACTTCTGACAGCTTGTCGGACCCCTCCACAAACGCCGCTTGCGGTGCGAGAAGCGCCGTTGCATTGCGCCGTTCTCCATTGGGGGAAGATTAACGGTACTTACAACCTGTAACAGTAACGGCCTTTTATTCCATTTCAGTTGTTATTTTCGAAGGTCTTACTGTTTGTGAATACGGAAATAAATCTGGGGATAAAAAAATGTCAATTGTTAAGACACCGCTCTACACTTTGCTGTTCCCACTGTATCATTCAGTGAGCTTTACGGCAATGTAAACGGTGCTACATGCAACACATAAAACGGCGCGCTTACATAATAGATGTGGTATGACGCGTTTATGGTTTAAGCCGTGAAGCGCAAGCCTTTATGCCACTTTCTGTTACAAATAATATACGACGGTCACGTTCAACAGCTACACTTACTAGAGAAACTTGGTGGAGGTTGTCATGAAACTTCAGTTGAATGTTGTATCAAGTCTGTACTCTTAGAAAAGGATAAATCTCGCTTAGGACTTTATCATTCTCATGATCTTCAGTCAAAATAAAAGTGCCTGGAGTAGTTTGCTCTGTTGTTATTGCGCTAACTTGTCGGCCATTTTTAAATTGGCATCACGTGGATTTAACACTACATTTTTGTTTTGGTTTTATTATTTTAATTTCCTCAGGCCAGCATAATTGCTTTACTGGGATTATTTTAGTGTCAATGACAACTCAAATCATAAACATACAAAAGTAAGTAACTGAAAGCAATAATACATTTTTAACATTCATTAATTACAGTCAATATTTATATAAATAGAAATAAGGAAAGCCAAACAGGTTCCCCTAATTGGTTGCTGTTTTTCAAATAAGGTTGTTGTTTTTTCCTTGAATTCATTATTCCTTCATTTTTT